TTTTGCGCTTCCAAGTAACAACCAATGGGTCCGTGCAGTCCGTCTTGGGCACCCAGTCCAGCGGCCACGGCTTGCCAGTCTCAGGATTGATGCCTGACCATCGCACTCGATATTGATTCTTCTTCTCGGCGACAATTTCAAGCACCTCCCATAGCGTTTCGCTATCGTCCTCACGTTCGACGAAGTGTGTTTCAAGAGAAGAGACCTCGAGTTCAGATGTATCGTCGTCGTAGTCTTTGTCTTTGGCCATTGGAGTCGACAATGTTCACACATCACATCAACTTGCTAGTTTCAAACATTGTATTACATAAGCACATTCCTACGCGCCATCGGCCATAGCGATCTCATTTTTGTACAACAGCGGAAGAGGTCTAACTTATGGGCCTCAAGAAGGGCCTGAGGTCATATTCGCTTGTATTTTACCTCCGCGAGAGATAATTCACTAACATGGGGTCATAGGCTCCATTTGCGACTGACCAACCAACGTCCTTGTCGATTAGTGGTTAAATCATCTCGTTGTGGTTCACCTGCTCCGAGAAGCCGGAAGTTCGAATCCTCCCTGGGACATCAAGATTTCACATCTTCTTTTTCAATTTTTTCTGATATAGCCATGAGAAAGTTAGCCGTGTCACTAGTCTGGGCCCTGACTTTGTAGCTCAACCACCTGACGCATATCTCTTCCATGACTCTAGTGCAAGACCAGGTGCACCACACTTCTCCTGAGAATTAGCAACAAAGAAGCAGAAAACCTTGCCCCCGACCCACGCGGCCAGAAATCCGATTGATGCTGGGGATATGTATGAGTACGAGTCCTCTCACCTCCTTTACCGGCGCTCTTCGGATAACGAACAACGTTCTCGCGGAGCGACCGAGTAACGCCTCGACCAGAATTATGTATATCGCTCGCCAGTCGATCTCGCTTATGGAGACATAATAACATCATTGTCTTCTCTAATAGTACCCAACTTAACTAAATCGAACAAAAGGAGAGTCACATGTTTCTGCGGTTTGCGGCTCTATGAGAGCGTTTCCTCGGAAAAGGCAAGTTGTAAGTATGATGTGCACTTCGACCCGTCATTCGGCGTCAGACCGACCTACCTCCCGTTCAGGTCGGTTCACAACGGTGTTCATGAGTCTACTGTTGAAGCTATCGCCGCTACCGACAAGGCCGCTGGCGCCGCGCGCGAAGCCACCTAAGCAACACACTGAACAGAGTCCAGGCGAAAGGCCCGAAAAAGGGCACACTTTTCACTGCATACATGATCGATGTTTCAGATTCGAGATGGGAAGCAACAGGCCAGTTTGACCAAGAATGAGGAAAAACAAGAGTGTCACGCTGTATGATGTCGTTCCTGTGATTCTGAGTGGGATGGTGCGTTTTTGTCTATAGTTTCTCAAGTGCTTATTATTGCGCTGCTGGTGCATGACGACCAGTAAATGGTCGCATGAGTATGTATCAATCAAAGATGGAGGATCATTCATAGATTATGCGATCCATAGGGACTGAGACCCCGAGGATCACCTTGGATGTCGTCCTTGATCAAGCCAATATAGCTTAGCCCGCCCTAACCTCGCGCCCCAAAACCTTGTCATCAAAAGCTCTTGGCCAATAAGTATGACTATATCTATAGATGTCAAAGACTCTTCCACAGAAAAATAAATAAATCAGGGAACTATCATAGAAACCAAGAAGAAACCAATAACGTTGGACGGCAACACGACGCTGTCAAATGCGCGAAACCCAGTTGGGGGGACTCGCTAGGGGTATATTCATGCCCGCTCGCGGAGGCGATGACAACTAACTTGTAGGATCAGAATCTGCATCCTGTCGCACTGCTTCATTGCCCTCCTCCAGTATGGGTTGTCTCCCCTACTTTCTTTGCATTTGTTTCCTCCTGCTGTTGGATTTGCTGTTTCGTTTCGACCAATTGGAAGTTCAGGAGCTTCAGCCCGTTCAGCTCTTTCTGGGCCGTCTCGTTGATGGGCCCGGCGAACGTGGCTAAGTTGAATTTTTGGTAGTTGGTATCACCGAAACTTGAGTAATAAAAGGTAAAGGCCTCACCGGGGGAGAAATTGACTAAGATATACACCTGACCGACTTTTCCGAGCCGAACCTTTAACTTTCTGGGAAACTTGCGAGAATCTGCCGCCTCTGGGTTAAATGCTGCAAAATGACTGGCAGGGCAGCCATAGAAGGAGCCCAAATGTATGGGGGTATGTTCCTGTGGAACTTCCTCCACAAGGCAAATCAGGGACTGATTAAGAGGACTTCCCTTATCCCATACCAGAGAATCAGTATGTCATGTATACAACAAAGGCTCCCTCACTCACAAGAGAATACAACCACCAAAGAAATTCTCCAAATGTAGGCTGGGGATCTACTGTACAACGGGTGAAGTTGAGGGCCTTGAGTCGACTGACCAGGCCGGGGATGAATTTTCCAGACACCGCGCAACATGCCTTCCAAACAGTATGAGTTGCAAAGTGTTCCAACGTGACATGTGATCGACATGGAGCGGAAGGATTCGGCACATCTATGAGGTATTGAGTACAAGTGACCGAGTGATTTCAGGTGAATGTCTTACGTGGATAAAGGCTTTCCATCCAGTGGAGGGCTTGGAGAGCCACGTCATAATGCACGGCGTTCTCGTTCAAGGAGAAGTTTCCACAGCGATTGGAGTCTTTGAGAAAATCAGAGAACGAAGCATGATAGATGCGAAGGTTTGAGCAGAGTTCATCCGTAGAAGGTATGTAAACTACTGAATGCAACTGCTGGAGCGCCCGGTGAAAAGAGGCGAGGTCAATATTGAGGAACTTTGCATGATCTTCAGCAGAGAGCTGAGGAGAATAAAGGATCAAAAGCCCAAGAATTCGCATGGTTGTGGGGAGAACGTTGGCGGGGACATCGGTGAAGATTTTACGATACAAAAGATCGAGGGCATGCAGGGGATTAATCGCACCAACAGTCCCACCCCCACCAAGAAACGACATGCAGACTTGCAATTGGCCTTGTGGGTTGCTGTATTGCTCGTCGCTGATGAATCTTAGCAGGAAAGAGGCGAAACCAAGGTGACCGGATGCTGTGACAGCAATCTGACGTAGGTTGTGCTCCGGTGGCCAGCTGGCTGGAAGGCGATCCCAGTATTTCTTCCGCGTTTTCTCGAGCTCATCCCGAAGGAGGCACCGAACATCATCTTGAGCTTCTGTGTCATTAACTTCGAGCTTTTCGCGTTTGCATGTAGTATGGAAGTCGGGGTTGGAAAGCATGGTCCTGAGATGCCACTCTGGGCGACTGGTGATCAACCAAAACACCGGGAATATGTCCACCTGTCGGCTGTGGGTGCTGATGAGATCAATGAATTCGCACTGGGCTTGTTTGTCCTTGCATTCGTCTAGGCCGTCGATGATGATTAAGAATGGTTCTAAAACAGTCTGTGGGTATTGAGTCATGAGGATGTGGAATGGCTCGATGATGAGTTCCTTGAATTGAGTGCGGAGATTCTTCTTGAGAATCAGGGGATCATCCGCGAGGCGTTGGGTGATGATATACTTGTACCGATTGTGTTTTGTCGCGAGTTGGTAGGCAAGGGTCGGGATAACACAGTCTGGATCGTTGAAATGGTTCGGCCGGGAGAAGAAGAAAGTAGCCCCCAGACGTCCGGCACTTTGGAAGTGCTCTGCGATAGTCTGAGCCACCGCGGACTTTCCAACTGCTGCGGGGCCATACACCCAAAGCATCCTCCATTGATTGGCATCGCCCATTCCCCACTCGACGATGCGGCTTCTCAAGCTTTTACGGGTGTCCGGGTGGCATAGAGGAGGGTAGCTTCGGTCCGATGAATCATGAATTGCACCTGACATGACCTTTTTTGCTAGGCGCTTCAGTACTATGATAGGGTAAGTAGCTGTCAGTGGAATTAGGAGGCGGAGGCGTACTGGCCGCCCCCTCGTTGATAGATTGGGATATTATCGTCGGATTGTTGATTGCAAATCGATGAGCATGCGCGAATAGTCCAATATTATCCGGCAATTCAATTATAGCTAATACTATGTCAGTGTTGTGCTGGAAATTACACCCAGGATACTAACCAGCATGGGCACTATTGAGAAAGTTGGTGTCCTGATTAGAGCCAGCATTTTGTGGCGGCTGACCAGGGTTGGGTATATGGAGTTCATCTTCGACCGACGGGTTTCGGTTTGA